CTTTTAGTCTTTGCAGATGTCCTTGACCGCCACTGTGCCTTCCCCAGGTTAATGGTGTTCCTTATTTTCCTCCTGACTTTGTCTGACTGCTCTAAACTTGTCTCCTTTGAATTTTCTCCAGGATGTACTGAGAATTTCTCTTGAGCCCACTGCAGTTTTGACAAAAAAGACTCAGCTTTCAAAGTCTTTCTTTTGGGCACCTTGTAATAGAAATAAGCTACTAAGAAATGCCATAAGAATTAACCCCTTTTTTTCCCTTGTAGTGCTAGGGATTGAACCCATAGCTTCATGCATGGTAGGCAAGTGTTCTACCACTGAGCTAAACTATTAACCCCTAAAATTGGTCATTTTAATGCATTACTGAAGAGAGAGAAATGACTTTAGCACAAAGCAAGCTTGTCTGTGCCACCAATACACACCACAAGCAAAGCCTTAGTTAAAATGGCTGTCACGAATAGCAACAGAGACATTACCTGTCTATATAATAAAGGCGAAACGCTCTTCGCCTGTAAATTCAAGAAATCTGTTATCCATTAAAAAAGAAATAACCAAATGAAATTCACAAATACCCTTTATTTCATCATCATAAAAGTAATCTTCATTCCTGACATGCGGCAGCACGAAGTCAAATATGTAATTCAAGAAAATTAGGGTTGTTTCTTTAAAAGTTCGATTCAGCTCTGCTGGTTATAACGAGTTTGTATTTGTCAAATGGTTTTTATGCTTAAATGAAAAGGTAATGATAAACAAGCATTGGAACTACTAGATTCACTATCCCTTTGCAAGGTTTCATGACATGCCTCTTTGGCAAACCAGGGCCCCTGGAGAAATCAGTGTGGATATGAAAATGAGCACATTATTTCACTGTTAACATGCACTGCTAAGATGAAAGAGAAGGCGTGTGGGCTTACTGATGTTTTTATTTTCCTTCTTGGAACGATTAACTGAATAAGAAACAGTGTAGGCAGGGTGTTCTAAATGCAAACTTGATCATGGAGTTTTGAAAATTAATACTTCGAATGTATGCAGAGTTTATGAGAAATGCTACATTGTGAACTCCCAGCTCCCGATAAAATGCCTTCATTACATTAATGAGGAAACTGAGGCTCACAGATATTAAAACTAAGGAAACAAACACACACAAAAGATACCTTAGTCAAGTACAGGAAGCACGGGAGCCAACAGCCACTGGCTCTCAAGCACTTGACAATGCATCTCATTGGCAAAATGGGTACTGTAGTAATGCACTTTTCAGAGATTAAGGATTTGAGGCTGTTACGCAGCTTGCCCAAAGTTATGAAGCTTTTAAACCAAGAGTGAAGGTTTAAATTTATGTCTGCCTTTCAATCCGATCTCACCTAGCACATAGTGCTAATGCCTATGGCCACAGTTACTGTTTAAGTACTCATAATTGCAATTTGGACAAAGAAAAAGCCTAATACTGCTAATAATCACCCTTCTACATGTCACAGCTGATCTAGACCACTGGTAGGAACTGGGTTGTGCACCAATGTGTCAAGGATGTCTTAAAGCAGCATCAGTTATCCTGTCCACCTATGATTTATTAGCTTTTATCCTACATTTAGGAACCCAATGGACAGACAGCAGAGTTACTTGTCTTTGGTCTCATTAGGAAACTTCTTGAAAGAATTGATGATTATGGTTTCATTTGTCTTTTCAGTTTTCAAACTAAAAAAACCTTGAACCTGGCACACATCTGTAATCCCAGTACTAAGGCAAAAGGATAATAAATTGGAGGGCAGTCTGGATTACAGAGCAAGATCCTGTCACAAAACAAAACAAAACAACATCTTGAAAAGCTGATTTTTAAATGCAGACCCCCAGATACCACACATTGTCCTAAGTGTTTCTGATTCGATAGGTGTAAGGTGGAGTTCTGAAATTCTAAAACAAAATAGAATGGTTTCGTGGCCACTGTACTCTGTCCTTTTTCAGGAGGCAACCATTTTAAATCCTTAATGATAGCACAATAATGTCGCCATTTTGTGAATCAGCCAAAATGGTAGCCCCGCCCTTAAACAAATTCCCACGCTCTAAGACAGCCCCACCCCTACCAGAAACTACTGCACCTGTACTAACTTCCTTACCCTCCCCCTTCTATTAAAGCCACTGCTCGCCCAGGCTCGGGGCTGCGCCATCTTTTCCCTGGCCAGCCTGGCAGTTTGGGCCTGCCATTAAACTTTGCTCTATGGACGTGAGACTTTTCTCGTGAGCTTTCTTTGAGAGCGGCATTTATTCCTAACACTTAACACTTTCATTTTGCATTTGTTTATCTCCATAATTCTCCAGGCCAACTGAGATAAATTACAAAGTATAATTTAAGTTAGTCCACATTTCAGATTGGCTCTGGCTTTCACATTTGATAAAAAACAAGCATTTATGAACTCATTAGAGGAACAAAGTAACATTTATTAAGCCTCCACTACATGGAAGGTCTCTACATACATCTCAATTCACTATGATCAAAAGATTAAATTACAACAATTTGGCATAAGGATTCTGTTTTTTGGCGGGGGACATTACTGCGGGGTTGAACTCTGGGCCTCAGCACTTCCAGGCAGGTACTCTACGGCTTGAGCCATGCTCCTATCCCTCTTTGCTTTAGTTATTTTTTTGAACAGCTTTTTTGCATGGGCTGGCCTGAACTCATTCTTCCTGTTTATGCCTTCCACGTAGCCAGGATGACTGGTGTGTGCCAACCATACTGTTTATTGGTTGAGATGAGGGTCTCGCTAACTTTTTGCCCAGTCTGGTCTTAAACCATGATCTTTCCAGTCTGGAATTACAGGCTTGAGCAACTGCAGTGTGGCTTGCTTTTCTTTTTTTTTTTTTTTGAGAGTGGGTACTGCTATATAGGTTGGCCTTGAACTGCAGATCCACCTGCCTTAGCCTCACCAGTGCTGGGATTACAGGTATGAGCCACCACACCTGGATTTTTTTTTTTAATTTTTGGTATTTGGGCTTGAACTCAGGGCCTACAACTTGAGCCACTCCACCAGCCCTTTTTTTGTGAAAGGTTTTTTCAAGATAGGGTCTTGCATACTATTTGCCTGGGCTGGCTTCAAACCATGATCCTCCTGATTTCTGCCTCCTGAGTAGCTAGGATTACAGGCATGAGCCACCTACGCCTGGCTCTACTTTGAGGATCTTAACTGGCTTTATTCTCAGTTCTAGATTCAGGCAACACTTCATTCCATAATGTAGAATGAATATTCTGATGGGCTGAGCGAAAGAGGCTGCTTTTATGAAGAGGGAAGGACTGTAGAAAGAACAAAAACAAGTTGGTCATTTTGATGTTACTTTCTTTTTTAGTTGAGGATGGAAGACAGAAGATGGAAAGATAATTGGTTGGATCTGGTTATTTCAGGTTACTCTGTTCTGTGTAAAGACTGAGGCGGAAGGAACTTAATTATCATGCCAATTGAAATAAGCTTTCAATAAGCTGTCTTGAAATTCAGTTATCTCTCCCTTTTCATTTCTCAGGGAAATAGTTTTGGTGCCATGGGACTCTGATGTGGGTGACTCCATTTTGATTTTTACTCTGGTCTGCTGGGATTCAGTGCAACAGTGCCTCTCCTCCTCCTCCTCTCTCTTCTTCTTCCCCTCTTCTTCTTCTTCTTCCCCCTTCCTCCTCCTCCTGTTCTCCTTCTTCTTCTACTTTAGGCAGGGGTTCACTGTGTAGCAACAAGATACCCTGGAAATTGGTATGTATAGCCCAGCTGGCCTAAAACTCAACATGTTCCTGCCTCAGCCTTCTGTGTGCTGGGATGAAAATCGTGCACCACTACACCTGTCTGGGGAGCATTCAGTGAGGATGATACATTGCGCATGTATTTATCCAGGCACAGGGCTGGACACTGGAGATACCATATGAATGGTTAATTCCTTCTTCTTTTGCCTGCCCCTCCTCCCCCACTCCCTTGCTGCAAAGAAGGCAGGAGAGACTGTGGGTAAAGACACTGATGAGTTGCTGATAAAATATTTGAGTCCTCTAAGTGAGAAACAGACAGTCTTCCAACTGAAGCAGAAAAACTCATATGAAGCTATCCAGCTTGAAAAACCTTCAGCTCTGTACCAGTAGTGAACCAGTCCCAAACTGCCAAACATACTGAAAGGACACTTGCCACCTGGCATTGACCCAAGGCCTTGAGTATGCTAGGCAAGCAGTCTACTACTACCCAGCTATAACCCCTTCTAGTGTGGGTGGAAGAAAAATGATAGCTGACTCCCTTAGCAGGGCAATGCCTGAATAAGTAGACTTTGGTTTCGTCTAAAGGTGCATTCATTCTGCAGTCATCAAGAATCTTCATCCAGAATAGTGGTTAGTTTACTTGGTGATAGTGAATGAGCTGGAGCAGGGTGGTGTCTTTTTTTATTACATGTAACTAGCACAGAGTCCTATAAACTCCAGATAAATGCTCTTATTCTTACTACTGATCTTACTCAGGTTAAAGATCAAGGAAACAAACCTCACTTTTTAAAGAGCCTCCCAAACTCCCATGGCTCAGGACTGCAGGCCCTTACGTTCTCATAATTCCTTCAGGCTCAGCTCGAACATCTCTTCCCCAGACAGGTGTCTGGGAACCCTGTAGGATGGCTTCAGCTCAGTGTGCCGGTCCTGCCGCACTCATCGCCAGAACACTCAGTCCCTTGTCTGTCTGTCCCCGGGGACAGTTGAAGTGCCAAGCCACAGGGCTCGGATCTGTTTTCGCTCAGGATTATAACCGAGGACAAAACGGCGAGAAGGACAGCAGCGACTGCGAGAAGTGAACTTGGGCGGGATTGGGGCGGCCAGAGTTTCTACCGCGGGCGGTGGAATCCGTGCATGAGGGCAGCGTCCCAAGCCCGGGGGCGGAGCCGCGCTGAGGGCGTGGTCTCCTCGCCCCTCGCTGCCCCCGGCCCCGCCCCGGCCCGCTTTCGCCCCGCCCACGGCCCCCTCCCCCGCTGCGCTCGCCCCCGCCCCCCGTTGCCCCCGCCCACTACCCCGGCTAGCGCTAGTCCGGCTTCCTGACGGTGTTCCTGGTTAAGATGGCGTCCCCCTTGGCCGCGCAGGTCGGCAAACTTCTGCGAAACCCAGCGCTCCGGCCCCGGCTCCTGGCGGCCAGGTCCCAGGTGAGCGCTGGCGGGGGCACGAGCCGCGGGGAGCCTCGCCCTTCTGCTCGTGGTCCCTTCCTGGCCCCGGCGCGCGGGCACCACACCGCTGGAGGCGGCGCGCGGCCCTGCGCTGCGCCCAGGGCGCAGGAGGGACGCTGACCCCCCCCCCCACCCCCACTTCGGGTTCGGGGCCGAGCGTTGGGGGGACCGCAGGCCCGGGTGCTCCAGTGAGTTCGTGAATGACCCAAGGCTCCTGACTCGCTCTGTCGCTGGACCCCCAGTTTCCGGGGCCGACGCATGGCTTTGTAACCAGGCGCTGGGTGCGAGTTTAGCAAAAGTTCCTCCTACCCGAGCCAATGTGGGAATGCTGAGGTTTGCCATGTTTGTCAGGCCACGTGGCAGGCATGCGTAGAAGTCATCCAGCCTTGCAGGTGTAACTCACCTTCCAGACTGAACTCTGCAGGTTGTCCACGTCTGCAGGCTTAGGAGTGTTTGGTTGGTGAAATGCTGGGGTTAAGGAGATAAAAGGGGAAACCTTGCCCTTCCTTTCAGTGATAAGTCTCTAAATGCACGAAACTATTAGCTCTGTTCACTCTGTCCATGCTTTATGGAGAATAAATCATAGAGGGACAACTCCTCAAACGTGCCCTCTTACAGTGTGTGCCTTCTGCAGATGTCGAGGTGCAGTAATGAGAGGCCTTTGGGGAAAGTGTGAGTTGGTGGTGACTCTTGAATCACTCAACCAGTAACAACTTCTTAGTCTCTTCTAAAGAAACGACAGTCTGGGTTCAGCCACAGCAAAGCAATGACCTTTTCAGTTCCCTCATTTTTAATTGATGAGAGGCAAATTATCACTCATGCAATTTTAAACAGGATATGCACAGTCTAGTTTTTAAGAAAATTAAAAAAAAAAGGTTCCTAATGATTTTTTGAGTTACACTAAGCTTTGGTTAATTATGACATGTGCAAGTTTTTTTTTTTTCTCTCTCCTTTCATTTCCTGACATTTCATTTCTCTGTTATCGTTAATGTAAATTTAAAAGGTGCTAATACTTATTACTGTAATAGCCTTAATAGGCACTTGACAGTATGGTGGGGTAGCAAAAAGAATGGCGGTTTTGTCTAATTAAAATCACTAATAACTGCTGTAATAGAGTAAGGCGAATACCCCCAGGTGATCAAGTCCTATTCATTATTTAAGTGTTACAAAAAACAAGAACTATGGTACTATGAGGGTAGACTTGAATTAATTAGAAACATGTGGCCCAGGGCAGTGAAAACTCAAGAAAGGAAAATAATCGTACAGAGAAACCTAAGATGCAGAGTTAAAGTTTAGGCGAAGTGTGTTAAGCCTTCTTGCCTATCCAAGAAATGGAAGCCTTCTTGTAACACTAAAGAGAGGCTCTAATGACCTTGGTTTGACAAAACCTCACTGTGGTTACTTTAGTTTACATTCTTGTGGATGATTTGTTAGCCTATGAATACAAGGGCTAGCAGACAAGAGTAGCTTAAAAAAAAAAAAAGTCCTAATTGCAACATTAAAGAACCAGAAATGAGGATTGACAAGCATCTAGTTCAGTCAGCTCATTTCGTGGTGGAAGAGTTAAGTCCTAAGGAAGTTAAATGTTTTGTTCAAGGTTACAGAGTTTGTAGCAGAGCTGACTGCAGAGTAAAGGTTTACCTTCAGGCTTCCCTTACACTAGGTTCTTGCTTGATAAATGTAGGGTTCCTAGGAAAACATATGACAGCATGGAAACTAGTCTGCATTCCAGTAATAACTATGTACCAAGTCACTGGCATTACTGACACTTTTTTTTCTTTATGAACATCTTGGAATTGGAAATAGAAATTGGCCAGGATTGTCTGGGATTTGTAAGGAACTTTGCAGGTTCTTGGGTGCTTCTTAGTATCTGCTCCATGTAAATCTGATTTGGTGGTATACCTATTTTGCTCCTTAACAGTAGCAGACATTACAGTTGAATGTGGCCTGCTTTTCCACCAAACTTGAGACTCCTTACCAAGTGTCTCAGAAATCTGTTGCCACTCTTGGTCCAGACCTACTTTATACCAGGCCTTGTTAAAAACTTGGGTACAGAGATAAAAGACCCACTTTCTGCTTTTAGAAGCAACTTAGCTGATTTCACAAAAATATCCATAGACTAACACTTTACCCCTTCCTCTGTGGTTAAATTTAACATTTGACACATATTCCTGATACTTAATGTCATTGAAGTTCTTTTTTATTATTACTTCTGCTCTTAGCATCACTGTTTTAACTTTTGATTGATGTTATATCTTTTATAGGGCCCTTGTTAATCATTTCTTAGTTTTATATAAATTTTTTACTTAGCTTCTACCATCTGGCAGTGCTGTTCTAGGTTCTGGGATTTGGAGGCTGAGTCCTTCATCATGTGATACTTTGTTTTTGTCAGGGTGGGGAAGGGTGACATTGCACACATATATCCAGTAGTGAAGATGATTTCAGGGACAGATGCTATCAACAAAATCAAATAGGGTCATGGGATGGGGAATGAACTGCTTAGGACGGTGGGTATTGATCCAGGACAACCTATTCAACAAGATGGGTTTTTTTTTTTTTGCTGCTGTTGTTGTTTATGTTTAATTTTTTTTAATTGAAATATAACACACATACTGAGAAACATACAAAGTATAAGTGAACAGCTTCGATGAATTTATACAAATTGAACACACCCAGAGACCAGATCCAGATCTGTAAAGAAATTTAACAGTAGCACTAGTTCTGTGGATTCCTTACCATCACTGCCTGGACCTAGCAATCAGTAACCAGTCCCCTGACTTACAACACCATGTACTGGGTTTGTTCCTATCTGGACTTTATGTAGTGAAGCTATATAATATGCATGCACATTTGAGACACTGCTCAACATTATATGTCTAAGATGCTGGAGGTGACTTTTTTTTTTTTAGATCCTCTTTTTTTTTTTTATTCATATTGGAGGTGATTTTCTGACATTTGAACGGAGTCATAGAAAGGAGCTGGTCAGGTGAGACACAGGGGAAGAATGTGTCAGGCAGGGCAGACAGCAAGTGCAAAGACCTTGAGGTAGGAACTCTGCATGTATAGTTAGTTGAAGAGGAGAAAGCGGCATAAGGTGAGTTCTGACAAGTAGATAGGGATTAAACCACATGGAGACTTGCAGGGTCTGGCAAGGAGTTTAGGAGCTTAGAGTGGTTACATTGTTGGCACAGCTAAACAATAAATAAATAAAAACCTACTAGGTCTAAATTCCTGTCCTGGCTGCTGGAATTTGGGCATTTAATTACTGTATTATAAATACTTCTGTTATACATCTGACCCAGACTGCTTTTGAAACTTATAGAGGAGTTGGGGGTCAATAAACTTAGCACTTCAGTAAAAAGTCTAACTTCTGTTACAGGCCTTTCCAGAATCATGAGTCCTAGAAGACAGAAGCCAGTTTGCTGTAACCAAGTAGTCAGCCAGGTGAAGAGGGTTCTGTGGTACTTGGTTCTGCATACAGGGAGGCAACACCAAGAGCAGAGGAGTCCATCTGTCAGTTGAATCTTAAGGGAAGTCTTGGCTGAGGGCATTGAGTTTTAAATGGTTATTGGTAATCCTAAACACAGCATTGTTGCCTTTTAGGACATTTCCCCTCCGTAGTGACTAAGTGCACTTAAAGGAGCCGTTCGTTCTATTTGAAGTGAGAAACTGCCTTTCAGGACCCCAACTGTATGTGGCTCCCTGCAAAGCTCAAGGGATGTGTGTTGTTAAAAAAAAAACAAAACAAAAAAACCCAAAAAAAACCTACTTACACCTGTGATCCCTGCTGTTGGATACTTCAAGAGGAATGGCTTCAGCTTAATTTTCTGCTCCTTCTGGAAGTGGGAGGAGAAAGATGGATTCATGGGTTTTAGATGTGAAGGACTAAAGGTTATATGCAAGTTCTTATCAGCTAAATGAGGCTGTGTGGAAGTTGTGACATATATATACCTGCCTATTGCCCTGGAGAATAAATATCGGACTCTTCTTTCTTTCTTTTTTAAATGTTGTGTAGCTGCAATTTCTGCTGTTAGAAAAGGAAATGCATCTCACGTAATTTAGGTGCTAAACTATTGACCTACTGGGTGGGGAAGACCTTTAAGTGATAGCTCATGTCCTAAATTGGTTTTGTTTAACTGTAAATGAAGTGTTTCTTTTATGGTCGAGTGATTTAGTGTACAGGCTCACAGTACCAAGAACTTCTCCTGTCCTTGTTCCCTGCCTCAGTTCTGCAAGCACAAAGCCCAAAAAGTCACTGAAATATGTTGTACTGGGGAGGAAAGGAAATTACATAAGTAACCCCACACCATTTGTCCTTCAACTCTCTTTACTACTCAGTCTGGAATTGTCACTTGATGCAGTGTTTTCTGTCACTTGATGGAAAGTTTTTATTGGAAAAACTGGAGAGATTTGTTTATGTTTGAATAAGTGATACAAGCAGTATAAATGAAATCTGGAAATTAATACTGGAAGTACACCTGGTGAGGAGGTGGGGGTGATGGAGACAGTGGATTGCATTCTAGTCATTGCAAATGGTTTAGTATGGAGAAGGAAGGGTGTAGGAGGGCGAATGTGGTGGAAATATATAGTCATGCATGAAAATGGAACAATGAGACCTGTGGAAACTATTCTAAGAATGGGGGGAGAAGAAATAAAGGAGAATGATGGAGGGGTAAGTTTAATAAGATATATCATAAGCGCTTTTGTAAATGTCTCATTGTACCCCCATTACAACAGTAATATAATTAAAAAACAAACAAAAAGCAAGTAGAGGAATGATATCATCCAGGCAAGCCGGGAAGGATGAATGGGCTGCAGAAAGGAATTTCTGGATACAGCTCTGTAGCTGAGGTTCAAGCAAATGCCATTAATTTAGCAAATATTTTCTGAACGCTTACTGTGTATGCCCAATGCTTGGCTCCCCAAAGGCAGAAACTTACTGACTTGCTTCTTCACTACAAACCCAGTGTTTAAGAGGG